TGGAGATTTGAATTCTAGGATCATAGTTCCCAGATAGGGTCTTGTGGAGATTTGAATTCTAGGACCGTAGTTCCCCAGATAGGGTCTTGTGTGATGTAGTGAGCTCTTTAATATGCCTTAGTCTTTGTGACCTACCCCTCCAATCATTCTTTTTCTGATGGGTTCTGGGTAAGAGAAAGTGGGAAAAGACACATATAAAATGATATGATTCAGGGTGAGTGATTGTAAACAGTGTCAATTGCAATTGTAAAAACTTGGAACTCTATAAAATGAGTCATCTTAGAAACAAAAGGGTTTGGGAGAAAAAGAGCCATGGGTAGAGTGTGCCCTTTGGGCCTCGTTATCCATGCACACTGAACTTCCTTTACCCAAGAACAGAAAACTGTGACACCAGAGGAGTAGCAGGGAGTGGCCAAAGAGTGGCATCAGGAGAATGAGGAGCTAGCCCTCTAGGCAGAGCAGTGGGCTTTGTAGCCCACCGAGCAAGTAAAGGTGAGTGCCTATGAGCAGGAGGCTCACTTATGGAGTGGGGTACCTCCAGGCACTTAATTGGGGAGCTAGATTTGCTGACCCATGGAGTTAGAGCTGAGACTTACAGTGTAGTGTGGTACCCTTGGGCATGTATATTTGTTGTTTCCACAAATTTTTTGAAGGCCCCTCTCATGTACCTCAAAAATTTTAATATACTAGACTTTACAGGGGATTGATTCAGAACTCCAGACTGTATGGAAGGCAGATATTTGTAACCCAAGGACTGCCTTGTACATATGTATGTGTATATATGTACACATTTATATGGTGCTGTCGAATAAGCACTCAACCACAAAGCCAGTTTGAACCACAAGTTTGGCAGTTGTTGGAAAGTGCCTTCAGGGAGGTTCTTACCCATGGCGACCCTATATAGGATTTCTGAGGAGCAGCTGGTGAGTTTGAACTGCTGACCTTTTGTTTAGCAGTCTAGTTCTTATACTACAACACCATACCAGGACATACTAGTAGCCCTAGTTGAGGTTTGTCACAACTGCTGGAGCAGGGTAAATACCAGACGAAGGGGCAGAGGAGAGGTTGTCCTAGTTGGAAGAACTGTGTCCTGAATATTTCTGACTCTGAATTATAATGTGGTAACTTCCCCAACAAACCCCATAGCTGTGAGTATAAGTTCTATGTGGTCACTGCAATGAGTTATTGATCCCAGCTGAGTGGAGTGCCTTTTTGCAGGCAATAAGCCTATGATTCTTAAATTGACATGGCCTTTGTGTATTTCAAATAACTCTGAAACTTAAAGTTAAGTTTTATCTTTTTTCTCTCTAAACAACTCAGGTGACCAGACAGGGGAATGCCGAGCTCATGGGAATCTAGGCTCTGCATTCTTCTCGAAAGGAAATTACCGGGAGGCTCTCACCAACCACAGGCATCAGCTGGTGCTCGCCATGAAACTCAAGGATCGAGAGGTAGGAAGTTTTATCTGGACACACCACCACCATCCCCCCCCGCCATTTTTTTTGTTTTTTTGTTTGTTTGTTTGTTTTTTGAAACATGGAGTCTTTTCATTTTTCATACTTCAGATGTTAGATGTCTACCATGGGCAGGACTTTGCTTTGTAGAAATGAATAAGACATGGTCCCTGACTTCAGGAGTTTACATCTTGGTAGGGTATGTTGCTCACTTTTCTCTTCAAACGTGGTATGAAGTTGATCTGTGTAGAATGAGCACACACAAAAAAGCTATTTTCATGGTATATTCATTAACTTGTAAGAAACAAGCATTATTATGCTTTGCTTGAAGTCAAATATCGTTGCTGCAAAGCCTTCCTGGTGTTTCTCTGGTGGATGGGTAACTCAGGTGGTAGAACACATTAAGTCTGAGAAACCTGAATTGTAATGAGAAAGAAAGATCATCCTAGTCTCTGTTAGATAGAAAGGAAATGTAATACTCTTCAAGTTGATATCCAGTAGATGCGACATGATGCAAAAGTGCCCATGGAGTGGAATGAGCGTGAGTTTTGCCTCAAATAGACCCAGATATGAATCCTAGTTAACAGCACTTTCTGGCTGTAAGATCTTCAGGAATTTGTCACTCAGTTCCTCTTTGTCTTTGCTTTCGTTTTTAGGAAGCAAAAATAGGCCTGTTTATTTCATGCATGGTTGTGGTAGGGTTATAAGTCATACATGTAATAAGTGCCTAGCATGATACCTGACATCTAAGAGGAATTCCATAAATGGTAACTTTTCTTATGATATTAATAGGGATGAGAAGGTTAATGGCAGGTGCGGACAGTATTTAAGTTTATGAATCAGTCTATATGTTGGAAAGGAGTCCTGGTGTGGCACTGTGGGTTAATGCACCAGACTGCAAAGCCATTTGAACTGCACGGTTGGCAGTTCAAGCTCACCAGCTGCTCCTCGAAAACCCTATGCAGGGTTGCTATGGGTCAGAACTGACTCAATGGCACTTAACAACAACAACATATGTTGGAAAATGTATTTAGTTAATTCATATCTCAGAATTACACTATGGGATGCAATGTTAAAACGATTCAGTATATTATTTAAAGGGTCCAGCAACATGAGGTCTCTGAAGCAAGCTCAGGTATTATGAAGGAAGTACAGTGGGGGCCAGGTGGAGGAAATCTTTGAAATTACCAAAATAGACCGTTCAGCAGCCATGGAGATTTGGTAGTTTTATTCTTAGGAAAGTTGCTTAAACACGTTCCTCATTACTTATTAACTCTTAGTTTACAAGAAATTCTTGTAAGCCAGATGATCTGATTTCTGGATATTGGTGGTGGTGGTGGTGATGTGCTGTCGAGTCTGCCTGGTCCTGCACCATCCTCACAATTGTTATGTTTCAGCCCATCTCACTGGAGATCTTTCTCTTTTGATGACCCTCCAACAGGGAAGCTCCCCTCAACGAGATGGATTGGCACAGTGGCAACAGCAGTGGGCTCAGGTGTAGCAACGATTGTGAGAATGGTGCAGCACTGGGCAGTGTTTCATTCTGTTGTGCATAAATAAGGTAGCTGTGAGTTGGTACTGACTTAACAGCACCTAACACACACAATACAGCACTTTCCCAGATATGTATGTCCTTTTCCTCTTTGATAGGATGTTCAAAGCATGTGAGACAGTCTCCCCATCCTCACTTCTAACGGGTATTCTGGTTGTTGTTCTTCCAAGACAGATTTGTTTGTTCTTCTGGTTGTTACTGTTAAGTGTTGTTGAGTTGGTTCCAATTCATAGCAACCTTGTATAGGGTTTCCGAGAAGCTACTGGTGGGTATAAACTGCTGACCTTGCAGTTAACAGTCCAGTGCTTATCCTATAGCACCACACTAGTACTTAGTTCTTCTGGCAGCCCATGATATTTTCAATATTCTTTGCCAACACCATAATTCAAATGTACCAATTCTTCTTCTGTCTTCCTGCTTCATTGTCCAGCTTTCACGTACAAATGAGGTGATTGAAAAGACTATGACTTGGATCATATTCAACCTTAGTCCTCAAAGGTGCTCCTTCAAATTTTTAATCTTAACACTCTAAAGAGGTGTTTTGCAACAGATTTGCCCAGATTTGATTTCCCAAAGGCTATTTCCATGAGCCTGGATTATGGATCCAGGTTAAAATGAAATCCATGATAACTTCAGTCTTTTCCTCTGTTTATTGTGATGTTGTTTATTGGTCCAGTTGTGAGGATTTTTGTTTTCATTATGTTGAGGTATAATCCATATAGAAGGCTGTAGTCATTGATCGTCATTAGTAAGTGCTTGCAATCTTCTGCTTTTAGCACTAAGGTGGTTTCCTCTGTGTTATGTTGTTATATTGTTAATGAGCCTGCCTCAAATCCTGATGCTACATTCTTCTTCTACTACAGACTCCCCTATTACTTGATGAGCTTTGATTGGGTTGTTGTTGTTAAGTGCTGTTGAGTTGGTTCTGACTCATAGCGACCCTGTATAGGGTTTCCAAGGAGCAGCTGGTGAGCTTGAACTACCAACCTTGCAGTTCAAATGGCTTTGCAGTCTGATGCATTAACCCACAGTGCCACACCACTATGGCGAAAAGATAACAACGCCGACACACACCTTTCCTGATTTTAAACCATTCAGTTTCTCTCTGTTCTGATCGAATGACTGTACAGGTCCTGCCTGAGCACGGTGAAGTGTTCTGAAATTCCATTCTTCATGAAGGTAACCATAATTTGTTATGATCAATGTAGTCCAGTGTCTTGGCCTACTCAATAATGAGAACTCTATATTTTGCATACTCTATTTGAGAATGCTTCCAAATAGTGATTGTACCTTTTTGAGTAGAGAAAGTTCGCAGACTGTTTTTTAAATGACTATTCTGTTGATACTGTATTTATAAGGACCCCTGGTGTCACTGTCACTTAGGCGTTGGGCTGCTAAGAGCGAGGTTGGTGGTTCAAACCCACCAGGTGTGGCACGGGAGAAACATGAGGCTGTCTGGTCCTGTAAACATTTAGTTTTGGAAACCTTTTATAGGGATGTTATCAGTCGGAATTGACTTGATGATAGTGGATTTGGATTTTTATTGTATCTAGGACCTCAAGTTGCTTCTGAGTTTTCCTTTTGCATTGTTTTCATATATAGAAATAAAGTATAAGAAATTCACCTTTGAAGCAAAAATGAACCACTCTGAGTGCCATGACTAGTTTCATAGGCTTTTGTTTCAGAGGCTATACTGCATTCTAGAATTTTCTCCACTAGCAAGAAAGCTGCCTGAAAGTAACTTGTCCACTGACCTTGTAAAGGAATGAATGGCCTTCTAGTTTTGCTGTCTTGGTGCCTTTGGAGTCCTGCTGGGAAAAGACTTCCAAACCTGCGACTTTGAGGGGGCTTTAAAAGGTTCGTGAAAAAATGGAATTGAAAGATGATGGATTTTTCCATAAATTTTTTTAATTCCCCTTGTATTTATTTTCAAGGCATTTTCAGTGCTTCTGAACAGGGTCTCTGGAACCAGAGTGAGCATGCAGTTCTTCTTAAAACTGAATGCATTGATGTCCAAAATGAAACTGAATTCTGTTCAGGCAGGATATGTGCTTATGTTATCTAACACAGTGACTCCTGGCAGCAAAGCTAGCAAAACCAGAGGCATCTGGGAAAAGGTAACTCGCTCCCATGGAAACAGTGACACATTCCAAAGCAATCTTCCTGCTGAGGCCATTGAACTTCAAATCTATGGGATGCTCTACCTCTCAAGGATTTCAATGTATTGAGAAGTCTTATAAAATTGGGAGGTTGAAAAAACAAAGCAAAGGGCCTTTTTCTTTTATACAATTACTCTCAGCTGCTTTTTAAGGAAGACGGTACTTCTGGCACAAGATTTCTCATTCCGACTTACCCTCTGTCTACTTTAATGACTTCTAAATTAATTTCAGGTGCCCACAGAGACCGCCTTCTGAGCTGATATTAATTGCATCATCCGCGGTATATCAGAGATGTTCTTTATTCAGAGAATGTGATATGCAGATATGCTGATGACTCTCAAGTTTTTGTCAGCCTGGATTTCTCTCCAGACTTCATAGTTCTTTATCCAACTGCCCCCTGGACACCCATCTTCAAGTCAGTGTGCCTAACATAGAAACTCAGTCTGGGCCTACTTCTGCTTTCACCATTTACCCTGTTGTCCAAGTCACCTCTACTCAGCTCATGTTTGATGCGTTACGAGTTCTCTTCTTTCTGAGATGGAAACCTCTTTTCTCCTCCCTTCAGCTTCACCATTTTGTACCTGGACTGGTGCAGTAGCCTTCTCTTAGAACTTTCCACACTTTTAAATATATATTCTCCTATAAGCAGAGGAGAGAAGGCGAACACTACTTAGAACTATGAGCATAGCTGGAAGCTGTTACCACAAACACATCATTTCTTTCAAGTAAACGTAGTGATTGAGAGTGTGTGAATTTAAATATTAGATAAACTTGGCTTTAAATTTTGACTCTGCCACTTAGTACCATGTGCCCTTGAAAACTGCATAACTCCTCTAAGTGTACCTATGGGCATTTGAGTTGTTTCCAATTATGGGCTGTTATGAAAATGCTGGTGAACATAAGCACTTCGTAAGTGCCTGATCAAACGTGTGTTTAGATTAAGTAGCATTTGCCAGTGTTTCAAAGTGTGAACTATCAGTAGTGTAAGGGATTGTCCTGGTGTAGTACTGCAAATTGATGCTCTGGACTGCAAAGTTGGTTTGAACTGCAAGGTCAGCGGTTCAAGCTCACCACCTGTTCCTAGGAAACCCTATACAGGGTTGCTATGAGTCAAAACTGACTCGACGGCACTTAACAACAACAAAGGATTGTTAAACATTAATTAAAAAAAAGAGAGAGAGAGAGAGAAAGGTACATGAACATACCTAAGCAAAGAAATATGTATGTGTAGTGATTCTGATATTACCTGTCTTGTTTATTGTTGTGGAAATTAAATGAGGTAATTT